AGTTTACTAGTTCATGGTCAACAGATTAACACACTGGGCGGTGGACAGTCAAGGTTTTGAAGTAGTTTAGTATCGACAGACCACGTTTGTATACGTAATATGTTAATTACTGTGTAATAGTCGCTTTCGTAATACTATTATTATTTTATGGGACTCGGTAATCGCTTCCAGATGCACGTTTTTCTTTTGTTTATCTTTGTTTTTTTAAGTTTTTTTATAAAAAAATGGGTTTCGTTTGCGATGGTTAGTGGTCTGGTAACATGCGTGACTATCGATTCAGTCTTGGGTTTGATTTCTAGATCGGGCTAAGATCCTATCTAGACTTTATTAATACGAAGTCCCTTATTACATGAATTTCATAACAAATCTGGTGAAAGGTGAGTTGTATAAATAATAATTGATAATAATACATCTCAAAGTATCCGTTCAGAGCTTAAAAATAAAAAGCGTATACTCAAACCATAATATCCTAAAAAAAAAACATTGCCTACTTGCCAACTAGTCAAATTCAATCATTTTTTACGAACTGTCAAAAACGACAGTTTTCTATTAATTTTGTACGAGATTGTGTATTATGACGTCGCGTTTGTTAGTGTCAAACATCATATTTGTTTCATCAAATTGGTCATGAAATCAATTAACGAAAATGTGATTTTTTTTTAATATTTTATTGTATTGAACAGTCGAAATAATTTATTTTTACTTTTTTTATGGTATAAGTCGGTAAACGAGCAGACGGATCACCTGATGGTAAGCAATCGTCGCCGCCCATAGACACCTGAAACACCGAGACGTTTCAAGTGCGTTACCGGCACTGGGGAATTGGGGAGACAAACACAACGTAAGCGTTGTTTCACGTCGGTTTTCTGTGAGGCCGTGGTATCACTCCGGTCGAGCCGGCCCATGCGTGCCGAAGCATGGCTCTCCCACACTTAAACTTTACTAAGGAAAGTACTCAATTACCACTTATGATATAACCCAAAAATTTTCTTATCTTTTTGTACCTACTTGCATTCAGTACCTGCAATTTGCACTGCACTACCTTCCTTACCTTCTCTTGTCCAACTTAACGGTATTTTTAAAGGAACGCTCACTAATTTCGTGGAACGGTTCTGCGCATGCGTGGCCTGTGAATGCGATATTAAACACAAATGGACCGACAGAGAGATAACTTTTGTAAATGTACTTGAAGTGAATGTTAATGTAAAATGCAGACTATAGGTATTTTGAACTTGATACTGGTTAAAAAATGGGGTCGGCCTAGCCATGGGCGTCCTCTGGCTGATATCATGATGATGCCAGGTTAAATATTGTCTTATTTATGGTAGTTAAAAGAAATGTCGGTTTTTGGATTCGATTCCCACGTCGTACAAAAGTTTTTTTGGGTATTTTTCTCTCATATTATACTCAAAAGCACGGAGTCTGAAAATGTGCTGTTTTTATTCCATGGGACACTTGACAATTAATGAAAAATTTATGTTTTACTAGCTTTTGCCTGCGACTTCGTCCGCGTGGAATAGTGACTTCCGGCAGAAAAGTATAGATAGCTGTGCCCACGACTCCGTCAGCGTGTAACTCCTTGTGTATTAAGTTAATGAATGGAGTAACTTCTCCCGTTTTTGCAATATTTCCCTTCACTGCTCTGCTCCTATTGATCGTAGCATAATGAAAAGTATACTATAACCTGCCCAAGAGTATAAAGAATAATTGTGCCATATTTCGTTAAAATCCGTCGAGTAGTTTTTGTTTCCATAACGAACATACAGACAGACAGACAGACAGACAAAAATTTTACTGATTGCATTTTTGGCATCAGTAGCGATCCCTAACCACCCTTGATAGTTATTTTTTAAATATATTTTATGTACAGAATTGACCTCTCTACAGATTTATTATAAGTATAGATTTATTAATTCCAGAATCTACTCTATTCAGTCATTTGTGTGACCATTAGAAAAAAACATATAACTAACATAATATTATGGGAATACTTTTTTTCTATTCATTTAACTAATTTGGCAACATTATTTTTTATTATAAGGAATATATCAAATGTCATTGTAATCAGTCAGCAATGAATATTTGTAAAATAAATTACAATATTCGTAAATTTCAATGTCAGACTAGCAATTCAAGTGTAAATGATCTATTAAAAATATTATATGTAAATGTTAATAATAAAAAAATCACTAAATAGTTTCAGAGCCTTGATTAGTATTCGACGGCCTCGTGTATTCAAAAATTAATTATTAATTAATGCCAATTATACTCTAACACTACTAAATAATATTAAATTATAATTCAACTAAGAATCGACATATTTTGCAGAAATGTGCAATATCCAGGGCCAGTATGAAATAGAATAATAAATAATTGATTAGTGTGGGAGAGCCATGCTTCAGCACGAATGGGCCGGCTCGACCGGAGTGATACCACGGCCTTACAGAAAACCGACGTGAAGCAACGCTTGCGTTGTGTTTCGTCGCGTGAGTGAGGTTACCGGAGGCCCAATAAAACCTCCCCAATCTCTCCAATCCCTGAATACCCAACGATCCTTAAACTCCTAATCCCCAAAAGGCTGGTAACGCACTTGCAACGCCTCTGGTGATTCAGGTGTCCAAGGCCGACACCGATTACTTACCATCAGGTGATCCGATTACCGGCTTATGCCATATTGTCCGATTACTGAAACTATTTACGGCTTCAATCTCTTAGATTCTTAAGATCTTAAAAAATAAGATCGGAATATTAATATCGGCCTTAAGTCGTTCATTTCTATATGAGCTTTCAAACTTACGATTTTGAACGAAGTAGTAAATCAATGACATTTTCTACGATCGATACTTTTGTCTAGATATTAATTCTATCAGATTGGTCTATTAGTTCCGATTATTCAATCAATAGATAATAGGGATGATGACAGGATATAAAAATTAAAAATCTAATTAGTCCGTCAGTTAGGTGATGAAAAAATATTAGACTTGTATTTTTTTTATTTTGTCTTATAAGAAAACAATACTGAGATAAAACTAATCAAAGTTTAGTAGTGGGAGGCAGTTACGTCATTTTAGAGTATAAATCGTACTCAAGACGTCATGCGTCATGCGACATTTCAAATTAATATATCTTCGAAACTATTCGTTTCCGTAAGAGAATAAAAAATACGTGTCTAATGTTTTAAATAATCTACCAGACGGACATTAAAATAAAAATTAGTCATCTAACCTATTTTCATCTGTCGAAAAAAAAAATACATACATTCGACAGTTTTCAGTATGGAAGAACTGTCAAATATTTTAAAATATTACGCCGATAAAATTTAGCTGCCCTTAAAAAATACAGCCCGAAATGCTATAAATAACATTCTTGTAAACTCAAAACCAAATCTGAAGGTAGCTTCACTATCAGTAGCGATGACAAACGTGATTATGTAAAACAAAAAAAAAAGAAAAAGTTACATAGCTTCTCATAAACATGAAAGTTTCATTTTTTTATTTAGGCGTGAACAACATGTCATTTCTCTTAAGTTACGGCCAGTATAAGATGAGCTCCCATTCTTCTGTGTTATTAGAGAAATGGAGATCATAATGTGAGGTGTGAAATTGCATTTTTGTGCCTTAGTGCATTGAAATAGATTTCTAAATAATGTGTAACACGAGAGAACATGCGTTGGTTGGGAAGATGTTTTGGTTCTAGTGCTTTTTTGAGGTGAGAAAATTATCAAATGACTTCAAGGAGTGTCAGACTCTTACTGACTAAAAACCACCCCGTTCCTGCTCTTGCTTCTAGCCGGAGCTGCGGAGCCCCGGTACCTCCCTATATTGGCATAGGCACATTGATGTTATTTTAACGTTTTTTCTTTTTTTTTTAAAGTATATTTAATTTTTTCTGTTTTTGTTGTATTGTTCATGTTTTGTTATTATTTTTTGTGAATTTCTTCTTATCTTTACCCTTTTAAGTTTATTTTATTATTTTCGATCATATATAAATATTGATTCCTGGGTCGGGCAAAGTATTACTGGGTTTTTTTTTTAAATGTCAGTAGTAGCACGGAGTCTGGAATTGTGCCCGGTATATGGCAATAGACTCACCCCCTATTACATGGGACTCATAACATAAATAGTGAAAAGTATTACATTGTAAAGTTGCATAATGTGCGCCTCTGCCTATCCCTTCGGGGATAAAAGGCGTGATGTTATGTATGTAATTTTAATTTACTTCGTCTTTATGTGCCTATTTGTCGTAAAAATGCTTCTTCTTTCTTTCTTTTCTGTCAAATAAATATTGTCTGCAGGTATTATGATACCTACATTTTACCTCTCTGTGTGTATACAATAAAATTATGAATGTGTAACTAGGCTAATGTGTAGTAAGGGGCACCATATATAAACATTGGTTTAAACCAAAATAATCATGTGACCAATATGAACATGCCTATCTATGTATGTGTCATTGAGCAATATGTATTTACATCATAAAGAAAGGATCGAGTCAGTCCCAACACAAGTATTGTATAATAACTTACTGGGACTGCCTCAATGTTAGACAGATAGTGTAATTCTTAAGATAATAAAGAATTTTGAATTTTGAATTTTTTTGAATTTTTAGAATCATAAAAAAGTTTTAATTGTATTTTTATGACACGCTTACTCTGCCTATTTATGTTATGATTATGAGCCCCCATCGTGGTTTGAAATTAGTCGAGTGACCTCCTCAAACATTTTAATGACTAATTAATTTAGTTCATACTACGGTAGGCACTTAATAGCATATTTTTTATGAACTACGTGTAAAAATATCTACTTCAACTTCCTCTTTTTTTGAAGTCGGTTAACTAATAATTATACTTAAAATTTCTCCTAAATATAGGTAACAAACACTTTTCTGAAAATCGCATCAAAATCAGTTCAGCCAATTGCGAGATAATCGCACACAAACATACATACCTATAGGTCAAAATGAGAACCTCCTTCTTTTTTTGAAGTCTGTAAAAAACTTACCGATATAAGGTGTGAATCGCCAAGTGTTGCCTAAGAACGGTAATGGACGTGGCCCAGGTACTTCATTCCACGACTTGACAGATGGAGCCATGTCAAAAATGGACGTGTCGATCGCCGCATGAGTGGATCTCGCGCGAAATCCTTTTACCGGACATGTTTGAGCTGGTTTTTGACCTGTAAAGAGTACATGTTAATGGATTTTTTGTATAAATAAAACGAGTATTAAAGATTGCCTAAACCAGTTTAAAAAACTGCTTTTTTTCGTTACTATGGCTTGAATGGTGTGTCAGATATTTGACACAGTATAATGAAATGAACGGCCTATTTCTCAGCATTTGTAGTGTAAAGAGATTGTTTTCTTAGCTTATAGTGTTACCTAGTTGTTATAGACTATGTAATAATGATTTCAAAGTACTTATAAAAATAAATACTAACAAAATGTTAAGCAAAAACTTAATCATCATTCGAGACCTCCAACTAGACCTTCTCACGAAACTGTTCTCACAGTTAAACATAACTATAATAATAATATGCAACTCTATAAAACTCTTCGTTCTATAATAATTTTAAAGACATCTAACTTCAATATTAACTGACAGAGTTCATTGCGCTTTGTCTATTTAAAAATCATTTTTAAACGCTTTTGACAGCATGTTGCATAAAATACAGCTAGCAAGTTTGAACTTTATAAACATGCTAATTAAAGTACTTTCTTCATTATAAGACGTTACATATTATAATTTTAATTTATCTAAGTTTATCTAGTTTTACATCGCCATGCAACCTCAAACGTCTAGATCTAATTACTGGTGGAAACACTATTACCTACACGCTCACACGCCGTGAAGTTTGCGCAAGAGTTGTACGCGATTTTAATTTCAACATTAGGAAAAAAATGTCCTTATAAAGAAGGATATTTTAGTTTATTTCTGAGCATTGTCTGTTAGGATGATTTTTCTGTGTAGTGTATAACTATTAATAGACTTATCTACTATCTGTATTCATCGTTGCGATCCAATGTTTTGATGCATTTTTTTAAATACTAACATTAATAACGTTTTTAAAGTCTATTCTGTATTGTAGGTACATGAAAGTAATGGGCAGGCTCGACCGGAGTGATACCACGGCCTCACAGAAAACTGACGTAAAGCAACGCTTGCGTTGTGTTTCGTCGTGTGAGTGAGTTTACCAGAGGCCCAATTAACCCCCTCCCCCCTTTCCTAATCTCCCTAATCCCGGAATCCCTAACGATCCTCAAACTCCTAATCCCCAAAAGGCCGGTAACCCACTTATAAGTTGTAACGCCTCTGGTGTTCCAGGTGTCCATGGGCGACGCCGATTGCTTACCATCAGGTGATCTCGTATGATCGTTTACCGGCTTATGCCATAAAAAAAATACTTACTGATTTCTAATGCACTCTCAGTCGGTTTTGTGTTTTGGGTACTCGTTGTTATAAGTCGAGCGCCACGGACATTTCGTAGCGGCCATTTTACCACACTGATTCGACCGCTCATTATTTAGTAGGTAGGTACTTGGCTCTGAAACAAAAGGAAAATTGACATTACATAATTATTATTACCTACATTTTCATTCGTTCTCTGTTGAATGATCTCAGATAAAATTCGTGGGTCTCAGATAAAAACAAATATTAACATACTTCTGTTCTTCTGCTAGGGATTTTGTTCGCATTCCCAGGGGTAAAAAGTAGCCTATGTTCTACTCCAGACCTCTGTTTCAAATTTCATCTTTATCTCTTCAGCCGTTTTAATGTGACCAAGTAACAAAAATACACACAAACTCACAAACACTCAAACTTACAAATTTTTCCCAGTTATTGGCATGGGTCTTGGGTTTGATGCCCGGGTCGGGCAAAGCATTAGGTACTGGGTTTGTTAAAAAAAATCTCAGTAGTAGTACGGAGTCTGGAATTGTGCCCGGTATATGGCAATGGGCTCACCCCCTATTACATGGGACTCATAACATCAATAGTGAAAAGAGGGTGTTACATTGTACAGTGGCATAATATGCACCTCTGCCTACCCCTTCGGGGATAAAAGGCGTGATGTTATGTTACATATGTTTGTTATAATAGAAGTTCAAGCTAATTTCGACCACCCTCATGTATGAGAAGCGGGCGTCTTAAACCTCCGTGCCACCACGACCACAAGTTCTAGATTCCTATGGAGATCCTAATGAGAGCCTATTGTATGATCTATCGAAATATAAACGTATCACTGCACAAGGTAAACACCACTGTAAAAGTAAGTACAATTATTATTTACGTACATAGAATGTACTCATATTCGACCATAATTCATCTCTAAAACTTTTACTTTAGTAATAAACCGGTGTTTGACGCGCATATACTAAAATTACATGTTTATTATTCTTTCCGTGGTAATATATCACATTTATTTATAAGTACACACATCGCATAATATTATACATTACCTCTACATAGGTATTGTTGAGTATTCGTAAATGCAGACAATTACGAGGTTTTAACTGCGATATCGTAAACTTTCAGTTGATTGTGAGTCTTGGTTAGCTGTTACTCTTTTTTGAGGGGGAATATCATCCAATGATTTTGCCTGCCCTAGGTGACACGAGACGGAGTGTCAGACACTGACCAACAAAAAACTCCTCTTTCGAACCGGAGCTTCGGTAACTCGCTATGTCGTCCGCAGCCTCAAAGAGTTATATAGGCTGGATGGAGTATAATACCTCAGTGTTTTAATCACACTGGTGAAGCTGCAAGTAAGAGCTAGTTATAATCCTATAAGTGGCCACTGCTGACCAAAGGCCTCTTCTCACACAGAAAAGGATTGAGCATTAATCACCACACTTGCTCAATACGGGTTGACGATTTCAAACTTATAATTTGATATTGTAAGCCCAGGTTTCCTCACGATGTTTCCTTCATCGTTTGTCAGTGGTGTCTAGATAGTCTTAGAAAGTACATATAACTCGGAAAAATGTCACGTTGGTACTTGCCGCTCTGGAAGGGTTTCATACCTGCACCCTCATGCATTAGAAGCGGGCGTCTTAAACTTCCGGGCCACCAAGACATTCCTAGATATAATAATAGAATTATGTATAATCTTTATTAGACTACTATGTAAACCTTCATTCAGACTGAGAATCAACGTTAGCACAGTGCAGTAGCATTTAAAAAAACGTTAAAATCGTGAGCAATATGAAGACCTTTCAAAATTAATTGATATGAACATTACGAATAGTTACTCTTACACTGTTGGGCAATGCATTTAAAGAAGATAGACATCATCGTATGAATATTTTATTAACCTTTCAGCAAACAAGGTTGTCTAGAGTCTGTAATTAATTTTCATACATTTAGATTATTTATTTTGAATGCTTATTAAAAGTAGCTATATTACATAGAGTCAGAAGTTTCGTAACAGCTCAGAATAGACGAATATTGTTGTGCATCTACAAAAAAGTTTTCGATGATGATAATCAAAGTAAAAATGGATATAAATTATGGGAAATGAAATGAAAGAAAGGGTTTGTTTGTCTATTTGGAACGTTCTAATCCTGAGAACTACTGGTTCGTACTTGAAAATTCATTTTGTGTTGTATATCCATTGTATTGTATTGTCCATTTATTACCTATTGACTAGCGACCCGCCCCGGCTTCGCACGGGTGTAATATGCATATCCTATTATACACAAAAACCTTCCTTAAGTAAATCACTCTATCTATTAAAAGAAATCGCATCACAATCCGTTACGTAGTTTTAAAGATCTAAGCATACATAGGGACAGACAGACGGCGGATAGCGACTTTGTTTTATACTATGTTGTAATACAGATAAGCTTCTTCGTCTTCGGCTTCTTTAGGCTATCAAACTTCAACGTTGGGTGAAACCGAGCGAGAGAATACCAGCGGATAACTAACACAGAACATAACATAACATCACGCCTTTTATCCCCGAAGGGTAAGCAGAGGTGTACATTCCGGCACTTATTGCCACTGTAGAATGTAATAGCAACTTTTCACTATTTATGTCATGAGTCCCATGTAATAGGGGGTGAGCCTATTGCCATATATGTCCCAAATCATATGGCAATAGGCATGCAATATATTATTGCTAAATTAGCTTCCCATCAGGTCAATATATCTAAATTTTAGTTCTGATTTTCGTGTTGGTTTATTTATAGAAAATGTAGACATGGACATTTATTTAATTTGCATGAATACATATCACTTCATTAATAATATGTATTTTATATGTATTCAAATAAAGTTTTGTTTTTATTTAAATATATTATTTTCGGTTGGCATTTTGTATTTTTAGAGATAATATTATCATATTAGATATGAAAAGTGACCATTTACATAAAATCAAGTTTTGTATATAAAAATTTTTTTGACTAATATTCTAGATATTTTACTATTATAAGTGAAATCTGGTTTGTAAGCACTTGACAATGTAGTAACAATATATATCTAACATAGTTTGTACTGAAAAATAAAATATGTCAAGAAACTATTTTACCCAGATGATAGATTAATCTTTTTTAATTGGCTAAGTAATTATATTGTGCTACATATAAGCATAAAAATTAGTATTCAATAACTTTTCCAAATTGATTAAAAATACAATGTAATTAAGTGTTTAGATAACGTGAATTTCGTAGTTTGAAATTCACCCCTTATACTTCACTTAAAGCGATTTTACAAATTAAGTATAAAAAAATATGTAAACAATACCTCCGTACCGCAACACTCTTAGAAAAAAATAGATCACCATAAATAAACCATAAACAGAAAAAATCAGGCACTTAATCAATTCACACCCTTCAATAAACAAACATCACACATTACACAAAAAAAATATACCTTTGCCAAAACAGAAGAAATATCCAAAAAGTCCTTATCACTTGACACAGCCCTTTGACACGTAATCAGTCACAATAGCATGAACTCGGCTGACCCCCTCTATACCCCTAGCAAGTTGGACGTCGACTGAGCTTCCTTGAACAAAAGTCAGGTGCTTGCTTTCTGCGCGTGTTTCCAATGCACTGTACACAATGTCGCTCGTACAAAAACGGTCTATGACAAATCCAAGAAATTTATTTAATCAGATTATTTATTAAAATTTCTTCTCATGTAAAAAAATAGTAATCAAGTAGGTAATAATTATTAAAAAATATGTATTGTCGTTTTTTAAATGCTTTTACTGAACTAGTTATATTTAATGTTTGATAAAGGTACATAATGGAAGTAGGTATGACAAAAAAAAATATTATTGTATGGTAATTAAGATAAAATAATGTGAAGTGTATAGTGTGATTGAATATTAAACTAAAAATGTCTTGCGATCAAAATCTTTCCTATTAACAAATTTATGCCATTTATTTGTTTAATGCCATATAAATCTGTATTTAGACAGACATGCTACATATGTGGCACTTACACGCAAAGATGTATCAATTTATAGCCTATTTACATCCTGTTGAATTGTTAGTAGATTTATAATAATAATAACTTTTGATAATAATTGACTGCACAGTTGGTGCTGTGGCTGGGCAACCGGCTGCCGTGCAACGTGTCGCGGGTCCGATTCCTGCACGGAACAACACTTTGTGTGATCCACAAATTGTTGTTTCGGGTCTGGGTGTCATTATGTATGTGAACTTGTATGTTTGTAAACGCACCCACGGCACAGGAGAAAATCCTAATATGGGGAAACGTTTCTTTGAGAAAAAGAAAAAAAAAATGTAGGTCGACCATTTATCACCCGAATGACACCTGAGTATTGATAACTTTACAATACTTGACATGGACACGGTTTCAGTGATTCTCAATTTGAATTGTATGTACATATGTCTGGCCGCAATTATCTCACGATTGGCTGAACCAATTATGATGTGCTTTACTGAAAAGTGTTTATTACGTTTAGGAGCACGTTTTAGTACAGTACAGCCAGCTTTATTAATATTAAACGTCTACATAAACAGAGGTTGAAGTCTGTTTATTAAAAAAATAGTAATAAAAAAATGACGTGTATCAATGTGCTCACGCGACAGTGCGTAACAACGTGCGACAGAACGGCTGCGGTACACGATGTACCAAATGAGATCGAAAGTATCTTTCTAGTTCCTTTCCTTGGAATAACTAACTTTTACCCACGAGTTCGCTCGCTGTTATTATTATTTATCGCTGATGTTGTCGCTACGAGTTTTGTATCATACATAATTGCATTGTTTTACGTGCAGTGTATAAGGAATATGAGCCTCTAGAATGGCTTGAAACTAGTCGAGTTCCTTGTCAAATAATTACGTGGGTAAGCTGAAAAACATAATAATTAATTTAGGTATAAAATTATTTCCAGTATGCAATTTTATCTTATTATCTATAACTTGAAAGTATAAACAAAAATTCATTCAAATTAGTTCAGCTGTTTAGGATAAATAACCTAAACATCGACTGCAGCGCCATCTGCTGGGCTGATTTGTGAATCTAAACCATTCCCAGATCCCCTTAAACACACACAAAAAATTTCATCAAAATCAGTCCAGTCGTTTGAGAGAAGTTCAGTGACATACACACTCACAGAAGAATTATGAATTTAGAAAGATAAAGTTAGATATCTTGATGAATCTGGGGTCTAAATAATAATTAATGTAAATATTTACCGTTGCCAGGTATTCGAAAATCGAAACTAAGCAGACTGGCCGGTTCAGAAAACGATCGAATAAAAAAATCATTTGCTAAAAACTAGCGCTGTTCTATGTCTACATTCCTAACGGTATAAGCGTGACGTTATAGTATACTCAAATAACCTCTTTGAAGAATTGGACTAACTATAAATCTTTTTTTTATGTTCCTTTTTTAATTAGCTGTGCTCAAAGTTTCGTTCACACAATATAAGAAACTGTACCTATGGGTAGTCGTTGGTCTATAAGTACACTTATAATAATAAGATTTGCTCTCTTTGATTGTTGACTTGTTTGCATAGATTAAGCTCCGAAACTATATGACTGAACTGATGAATTCTTTGACCATTACCTATATAGCAAACTTTTTAAGGAGTAACAGGGGGTTTATTTTTATGAGACTAAATCTTACGGTTTAGGATTTATTTAAACAAAATAATGTGTTGCGTCTGAAAAAAGGTAGCAATTTTAAAAGTTTATTTTTCCCCAAATTCTAATCGTTTTCCTCACAAAACATATCTAGTTAAGGCTCATACACAAAACTGCGATGCTATACGATGCGAATTCGCAACGTAGAAAATTACGATGCGAATTGCTGCGATGCGACAAAGCGTCTCCCATGGTGACCGTTCCTTCAACGACCGTCAACCGTACTAAACGTATTTTAAATTGAAAACTAGGTCGTGACATGGATCGTAAAAAGAAGTGTGCATTTCTGTTATTGTTTAAAAGGTACAGGAAAAAGAAACAAAGAAGATATTGGGAAGATAAGATTTTCATGCGCGATGCGAATGAATTCCCAAGATCTTGCGATGCATAGAGGGAGAGGGGAGCTCGCACATATATTTGTGATGCGACGTCACATCGCAGTTTTGTGTACAAGCCCTTAAAGATTACATTTCTATAATCCTAACATAGCAGTAATGAAATATTTGATAAAATCGCGCAAAGCACTCCAAATTGAAAATTAAAGAAATCTAATTTCTTTACATCTATTTATTTCGATCCTGGTCTATTCGAGAGCAATCATCCAAGTTACAAGCGATAGACTGAAAGTTAGTAAAATGCAAAATTCAAGAATGTCAACTGTACAACATTACATAGTGCCTAATCAATAACAGTTGAGTATTTGAACTAGAATTCTCGATTCGAAAGTATTATGAACATAATTAATATTGTTTCTGCAATAACTAATGAACGGAACTGCGATTTGCGTGACTACATTATTGTGTAATCGACTTTAAGTAGTAACGTTTAAGTATTAATTTCTAAAACCACATACGTAAATAAGTCAGAGTTCGAAGATTTTTACGTTTTGGTACCATAACATAACATCACGCTTTTTATACCTGAAGTGGTAGGCAGAGGTGCATATTATGGCACTTAATTCCACTGTACAATGTAACACCTACTTTTCACTATTCATGTTCTGAGTCCCATGTAATTGCCATATACCGGGCACATTTCCAGACTCCGTGCTACACTTACTGACATTTTCTTAACAACCAGTAATACCATCAGGTATCATATTTGTTACAAAATTTTAAAATCACTTTCGTATTTCCATTAGGTAATACTTAAATAGGCACTTTTGAAACGTCATCATTGAATTGTCCGTCTGTCTGTCCGTCAGTGAAGCTAGGTGCTCGTCCCAAAGTGGAGTTACGAATGGAGAAGAAAGAACTGGGAACTCCATCTCCACTTTTAAAATAATTAATTTTAATGAATTTTTATGTAAATTTATACATAACTTCACGCCTGTCTCCCATGGGGGTAGGCAGAGACTAGGGAACGCCAATTACTACGATTCCTACATACCTCTTTCGCTTCATCAACAGTCATCAATCTTTTCATGCATGCTCGTCGGTTAAGGGTACCTACTTTTAATTTGGCCCTTCTTTAATATATCGCCAATCTGGTCACTATATGTCCGTCTAGGGTACTCTTATGATTTTAAATAATTTAAAATGAAAAGGTTATTGCAAAATTGTATTTAAATAAAAAATCATTTACACAATTAATTATATTTATTGCCAATAACTGAATAATAAAAACCAATTAAATTGTAATTCGTTATGAAGATCATAAAATAAAAATATGTATGATCACGCGTGAACTTCATTTATTTACTCTGTTATGTAGTCGTTGGCACGATGGAGTTTTGGATTCGAATTCCGTGTGGACAAGACAATATTGGGTATATCCTCTATCAACAATTTAAGAACTATGATACATAGGACCCTATATTACATGGGACTGATAACATACCTCACCGGTGAAAAATAGGCAACGCACCACTGTGATTAAAATATATATATAGATATAGAGGTATTATTCTAATTTGTTGCGTCCTGCCTGCCTGTCTCGTTGGCCAAGTGGTCGCAAATGCGACTGGCGGACAATTAGGCTCAGTTTCGATTCCCGGATCAAGCAAAGTATTACAGGGTTCTTTAAAAAAAATCTCAGTAGTAGCACGGAGTCTGGAATTGTGCGGTATATGGCAATAGGCTCACCCCCTATTACATGGGACTCATAAAGTAAACAGTGAAACGTGGGTGTTACATTGTGCAGTGGCATTAAGTACCGTAATGTGCACGTCTGCTACCACTTCGGGGATAAAAAGTGTGATGTTATGTTATGTGTTTCGTTCCATCCACAGCCAACTTGGCAAAACAAAACAAAAGAATTTCAACCATGTCAAAATGACCACAAGATTGCAAAGATGTCATATACAAAAAACTAGTTGGGCCATAATGGGTATTGTGGGCCGTAATCGCGTACTGCATTCTGAAGATGTAACGCCAAGTACCTACTGGCAGATGATTCAGGTTATCTTACGAAACTTGGAACAGGATTCAGTCGTCAACTTTTACCAGGTAAAAGTCGAATAAAAATGTCTTAATTAAGTTAACTGTAGTTAGCGCAATGGGTGGATGACCAACGTACTTTTTACGTGAAATTTTATAGTCGTATTTGCACTCACGATAGAGAATATCCTTGAGTGGATTACGTCTTAGAAAAAAGATAAATAAAAAATCAATCCTGTCTTTATAGCCTCTCAATAAAGTATTACTTCAACCTATTTCTTACTCCTTATATGATTTCTTTAACTTTTTCTTTACTTTAATTTTATGTCTGCCTCGTTAGCCGAATGGTCGCAAGTGCGATTCCCGGGTCGGGCAAAATATTACTGGGTTTTTAAAAAAAAATCAGTAGTAGCACGGAGTCTGGTATTGTGCCCGGTATATCGCAACAGGCTCAACCCCTATTACATGGGACTCA